GTGAAATTAACATTTATTTAGAGGCCAAAATGCGATTATACTTCCATAGGGAAAAAGTAAATCTGCGTTCTTTTTTTTCTATTGTGTGTATATAGATTTTGTTGCGAATTATACTAAAATGAAAGAATTTTGGTTAGGGACCATTAAGCTACTTTGAAAGATTATGTGTATGTATAAGTTTTCCCGTCGAGACTCTATAGAAAATATAGCAAATGGTGCAAAAATAAAACAAAATTGGCAATTATATTTTATTTTGATTTAAAATTGATTTTCCGGTAAGCCTTTTAGTTTTAAATGATCTTTTTTTTTTAATAACTATAATTGTTGTTTAATTAAATTATTATTTTTTATGTCAATGACCTTACATGTATTTAAGAATACATAGATGAACAAAAATCTCGTTTTATACATATAAATATATATATACTGTTCGTTTTTAAATAAAATGCAATTAATTATCAAAAAAATATTTTGAAACTTCATTTACTTTGACATTATTAATAGTCAATTTTATTTCTGAAGTTTTTTAATTTTTAATATTAATTGATAAATTGATTACTATTCCTTAGTATTTTAATCCATTCGATACTGGGGATTGTTTGTTGTCGACTATTAATAAAATTTATTTAAATATTTCATAAATTTGCTTAAAGTAAGATTTTAAAAATTGTTTATGTAAAAATTAACATAAATTCATTGATAATAGCTATAAATACAGAATATTATTATTATAGTACATAAAATTTTGAAGACGTGTGTGTGTGTGTGTGTATTTTTTTTTATTATTATAGAAATTATGAATATATGTAAATAAAAATTATTTTATAAATTATAAAAAAAAATTTGCATTATGTTGTAAAATATAGTCGACAACGTATTTTAAAAAATATAAAAATATATAAAAATAAAATTATAGAATTTTTTTGTATTTGAATTGCTTTAAAATTATTCAAACATATTCTTGAAATCAAATACAATAAATATATTATTTATTCGATACCTAATTAATTTTTAATTAAAAAAATGATTGTTTAAATTTTTCTGGCTTACCATTCTGGTTTAACTATGTTGTTCAAGCGAATATATTTTGTATATTAATAGATTATTACGAGATTTTGTTAATTACATATTGTTTTTACGGATAATTTCTAAAAACATTAATAACTCGAGTAATAATAAAAAAAAAATAATAATAAATAGCACCAATTATAATTATATTATAATATTAGTGATAATAATAAAAATTATAATGTTCATCATAATGATAATGATGATAAAAATAATAATAATAATAATAATAATAATAATATTAATAATGATAACGACAAACGCAAATGCGGTCTATCTGGTGTTGGTTCTTTTATTATTTTCCATTAAAAAGTCAGTAACAAATACGTAACACTCTAACCAAAAGCAGATCTAACTTTTGAACCATCGACGCAAAAGAAAATGTTTTAAAAAGTACTATACTTATGCTATATATATATGCCTATATATATATATATATATATATATACATATAACTATTCATATTCCTGATGAGGAAATGGCTATTGAATTAATGTAAATGTGCATATTTTCTATTCGTGAAATTGCTCTGAAAGAGCCTAAAATAAATGAGGAATTTGTTCTTCTTAAGAAAAACGTTTTTTAAATATGGGATAAAACAGTTATGAAGACACATAGTGCTCGCATTATAAAATAATTATAATTATATAAATAATGATAATAATAGTAGTATTAATAATAGAAGTAAATTATGCAAGAGTAGTTGAGCATTTTGAAAATCAGATTTTTCTTTTTAATCGTTTTCTTAGCTGCAAAAAAGTAATTACGCAATATACAGTCGTTATTTTTGTTTTACGCCACTGCTAAAATGCACATACACAAACAAATGTATTTAGAAATAGAAACTTTTTTCAATAAAAATCATTTTTTGAGTTGGACACATTGAATTATTTTTTTGTTTATGAATTATATTTTTGTTTTACGCTCGGCTTATCATATATTCAATTATTTTTACTTTTTGATTTAAGACTTTTGCATTAGTTACTAAAGAAATTTTTAATTGTTATAGGTATTAATTCATTTTTGTGGCTCACCATTTAATTTACTAAAACTTAAATCAATGTTTAAATTAGAATGGAGATAGATAAGCATCGAGCGTAAAATCCATCCAGCATGTTCTTTTCCGTAGTATTCCAGAAAAAATTTCAATCCTTTTTATTCCATTTCTTAAATATCCACATTTTGTGTATAATATAATATTATGATATATGTATATACAAATATGTAGTTAGAATTAGTTGTTGCCTTATGTGAATGCTTTTTAAATTGTTACTATAATTGCATGCATTTATATAAGCATTTTTTTTTATAATTGAAGAAATATTGCACGATTTTCATCGATCTAATCTCAGCTTTTTTTTTTTTTTTTCATTTATAATTTAAATTAACTGACAGAAATAATACTAATGATTTCCTAATTATTAAAAAAGTTTTATTGGAAAGTATAAAATTATAAGCTACGCACGAACAACTAATATTTGAGAAACAAAAATTTCTTTTCAACTTATTAATACGATACTTTGATAATAACGCAAAGCATACAAATGAAAATAAAAATAAAATACGCTTTAAAGCTTTGTCAATTTGTAAACTTTATAGTTACTTCTAGATTACATTTCATATGTCCTTTTATTAAATATTTAGTATATTCCATGATTATGACATGTATCTATATATAAATTCATATATTAGGTATAATTTATAAAAATAGATGAATATATATATATATATATATATATATATATATATATTAACATGAACAAAGGAAAATTTTCAAACTGAAGGAAGCTTCAAACTAATATTAAACAAGGTAAGACTAATTAAGCGATTTTAGATAAATAAATAACAATAAATAAAATCTTAATCATAAATGAAACTTATTTTATTTTTCTGCAAATACTTGATTCTAACGTATTTGTGTAAAATAATCTTTCAGACTAGTTCTTATGTTTGTATTTTATTTTTAATTTTTAAAATTTTTTTATAAATCATCTTGAAATGAACGTTTTATTTAATTAAAAAAAAGAAAAAAAAAAAATAGTAATTTTTATAATAAAATCTTATTTCTTTAATTTACGGGCAATGATAAAATTTTAACTTTTTGTCTCTACGATAAAAATAAAATACGCGTTAATATGATATAATTGAGCTTAAATAAAATAAATGTTTCTTATATCATATTTCAATATTTATATGAATTAAAATTATGTTCGATAATAAAATTATATTTAATAATTGCTTATAAAATATTCAACGGTAAATTGATAAATGTATTATTGAAAAATTTTGTTCTAGCTTAGAATAACCTGCATAGTGTATTGAATCAATGATTTGCATCATTTATATTAAAATTTGTATGATAATGCTAGTTTTAGTCATGGAAAGTAAAACAAAGTCATAATATCTATTATTAAATGAGATTTTTAATTGATAACTTCGTTACTTTATTAACATAATAATGTACATTATCTTCCATATTATCCTACTTAATTATATTAAACATTTGGTTTATATATATATATATATATATATATATATATATATATATAATCTTTCTATCTTCTATCGCAATTATGTATCAGTAAAAAATGTATATATTAGAATAGAAACATCATCACTCGTTAGCTTTCTGTTAATATTACTTCATTTTATTGCCTCATAATTTTTTTTTTTTTTTTTTTTTTAATTTTCTTACAGAATTAAACATTTAATTGACAATAACAAACTCCTTACTATGAAACAGCTTTAAAATATTTTGAAAATCCTAAGCGACTAATTGGACAGTATCACTTTTTATTTCATACAGTTGTTCAAAACTTATATTTATCTATTAAAATGTAACTGTATACGATCGATACTTAGTAATTTGGCAAGTTTTTAATTTTTACGGTTTTAATTTTAACAATTATTACGAGCTCGTGTAAAATTAATATTTGAATTAGTATATTTTATTGTATTATTCGAGATTGAGTTGAGATTTATGAGCTGTAGAATGAATGATGAATCTGTTAGTTAAACTTTTTTTATTCATAATAAATTAAAAATTGAATTTTATTATGCATGTATTATTCTTGTAATATTATTATAATATAAAATATAATTTTGAATAAAATTATTTCTAAATATATGTTGATCTTGTGGTATATTTAGTTATAAGCTTTAAAAATATCTAATTATTTAGGTAAATGATATGTATTTCATTAGCACTATCTAATTGTTATATACTTAAAAATGTCATTACATTTACGAAAAGCTTCTTATATTTGACTATTTATTAATATTCGAGTCGTATGAAACTAATTATTTATTAAAACCTGTATTAGTTTATTGTGACAATATCAATTCGTCAATATATCATAGTCATTTAAATATTTGGACTATTTTGTATATACGACCCTGAAAATATAATTATTTAAAATAAATTTGTTGGTGTAAAAAATCAATACATAGTTTAAGATTTTATTACAATTTTGCAAATAGAGATCGTTAATAAATTTTACAAAATTAATTTATACTTAACTAGAAATAGAGAAACAATGATAAACAGAGAGCTTTCTATTCAATTAATTTATTGTTCAATGCTTGACCGATAAATCCACCGAGATAATCATAAAAATAATTATTATATCGTAAGTAAAATAATTTTTGCAAAAGTTTAAAACTTACAGAACTTTATTTTAAATTTGAAGATTGTAAATTATATGTCTTGCACTTTACATACAATTTAATTCTTATAATTCAAGGCGTTATCGTTATATCACGAAGAAGTTCAAACATTCGTCAAATTGCAATAGTTTTTGAAAGTTGCAGTAGCTTAATTATTGATCCAACCCATGCAATTTAATTTAATGTAAATAAATAGAGAGGCGCTAGAAAAAAAGAAAAATATTAAAAGAAAGTGTCGATAGATAAAGGAAATGTCCTCCACACAGATTATACGTTGCTGGCGAGCGATCAACTAATGAGCACCGGCAGTGGTAACGTCAACATTTCTGACTGGACGTCAACGACAACCTCAAGCAATAACAGTGCATCTCTCGTATCTCAGGATTATCCTCTCAAGCCGGGCCTCACTGGGCCATACATAATGCCTATGCCGATGCCGATGCCGATGCCAATACCAACGTTGTACAACGGCGACGCGAAGAAACCCAAGCTCGGCATTATTGAACTAGTCATTTGCAATATAGGTGCAATGTTGGCCAGCTTAACCATGGATTACGACGTCAGATTATCGAACCTATCGCCCATACACCCCCGACTGCAACCTCCTCGAATCACCTCCCAATTCCACGAGGATGAATCCACCAAGTGGTGGGCAACGCAAGGCTCTGGCGGTGGTAGTGGCGGCGGTGGCGGTGGTGGCAGTGGTGGCGGTGGTAGCGGCGGCGGATCTGGCGGAGGCGATCCTGGCTCTAATAGGAATTCTGGATATTTGGGTCCAGAATACGAGTTCAGTTCGGGCAGCGGTTATACGCACAACACGTACCATGGCCCAACGAGGCATTACAGGTTAGTCTTGTCTCATCTTCTTTTACCATCTTCAGTTTCACTTGCGTATGTGAACGCACATATTCACGTAGCGATATTATAATGAGTTAGATAATAATTGAATTATTGCATTATGAAACGAACGTTGAGATAAATGTTATATAAAATTAAAAATCAATGTTTGCACTTAATTATAAGTTAGCATTAATGAATTTAATTCTTAATATTGTAAGATAAGTAAAAAATTAATTATATATAAATAAGTGTACGCAATGTTATGCAATATATGTTATATGTATTAATTCGCTATTCATTTCACTTTAGCTTAATTACACTTTTTTCGTAATATTATTTAATGTATCAAGACTCTTAACTACATATAAAATGTATTTATTAAATTATTAAGAGATTAGTGGTATTTATTCGATATCATTTTAAGGTAATATACGAAAAATGTTACAGACTCGTTAAAAAAAAAAAAAAAAAAAAAAAAAAAAAAACATACAATGATATGAAATCAATATTTAAGAAATCTAATGATACAGAGCTTATCCATTATGACTTATTTATTCTAATTAACTTTATTCTAACTGGATCCAATGGGCGCAGTACGATATCTGCCATCAATCTCATGTCAGCTGTATGATCAATAGGTTCTAGGTAAAAGTCATATAAAATTCGAGCGATTAAAGATTTAAGTTCCATTAGAGCAAATTTCTGACCTAATAACAAACATTAGAATTCTTTAGTTATATGTTTTAGAAAGCATTGATAAATTTAATTATTAAATAATTTAATTATTTATTTATTTTTTTTTTTTTTTTTTTTTTTTTTTTTTTTTTTTCAGTATTTTTTTTGTAGTTAATATCCTGTCAATTTTCATTAATATATTTATAATTGCAATTTAATTGACAATAAAAAAAAATAAATAAATAAATAAAAAAAATATCTATAATTAAAGATTTTATGAATTATTTAATTTCCAATTTATGACTCATTGCTTTAATATACTTTTTAAAATAATATAATATTTATATAATTATTATTATATTCTGTAAATACCAATACAATTACGGGGTCCGGCGCTGAAAGGTACATAAGCAAATGGATGCCGATTTTTACAGTGCTCGATAAGGAATCTGTCTGGATCAAATTTATCTGGTTTTGGCCAAAAATTTGGATCTCTGTGAGTGTCGTATAAGTGAATCATTATATGAGAATCAGTTTTCTGAAATAAAATATTCTAGTAAATATATGTATATTCACTTATCTCTCGACAGGTTCGTACATGATTTTAATGAAGTCTACATTTTATTGTTGCGTTGAATTTTTAAATAATTTCATTGAAACTCGATTAGGTGAAGCTGGTTGTTATAACGAATTAGAAAATAACAAATATTTTTTATACAAAAAGTATAGCTGGTATTAATAAATATTCATAATAATAATTTAGTGATTGTTGAGAAATAATGATTGAAAAAAATAATGTAATGATTTTCAAAGTGTTCGTAATTATAAATGCAAACGTAATTAGTTTGAAATGTTTTATATATAGAGTAGTAGAATTACTTAATTGAAGTTCTTCTGAAGTATAACGTAATACCGTGGGAACCGGTGGGAAGAGTCGAAGTGCTTCTTTTATACATCTTTCGAGATAATGCAGCTCTTGAAGAGTGGTTATTCCCATTTCTCCTCCATTTTTATTCAAGATTTCACTAACCTCGGCTCTCGCAAGACTCTGAAATTTGATTACAATTCACAACTGTAATTATTTTAAAAATTAAAATTTGGTAATGTAATTGACAGTGTCGATTTTTTTTTCATGAGTTTTTCATGGATCGTTAAAGAATTTAATTAAAGTAATAATAATTATTATTATTATTATTATTATTTTGCAGTTATAGTAGTTATAAAATAGGATTTATTATATTTATCTGGCAGAATCGATATGGGAAAACAACGAGTTTATGTAGGCATTTTAAAAATTTTTGTAAACCATTCATTGCAATCTTCGATAAAGTTATTATTGTATCATTATAGATATATAAAACTATTACAAATGTTATATGTTCTCGATAATTATTAATTTTTATTATTTTATCGTACCTGCGGTCTCTTATTCTCAGCCAACAACATTAATACGAAAGTCATGGCCATTCCAGTTGTATCGTGTGCCTATAATATTAAATTTTTTTATAAAAAATCGATTGATTATTATACTAAATAATAATAATTATTATTATTTTAAATAAAATTTATGGATGCTAGTAAAACAACAGTACGCTAAATGTATAACATGTATTTTTCGATATATTCGAAATAATGTTTATGAATAATTTAAATCATTTCTAAGATACTAAAGATACAATATACAAATTAATGATAATGCTTTAAATAAAATTATGTAATACTGAATTATTAAAACTGCTATTAATAAGGATATTTAAACTCAGCATACCGAATTCAAAAACTTACCTCAAATGTAAAAGTATCGACTTCTTCTTTGATTCCTTCATAATCTATCAAACCATTATGTTCAGCTGCTAATAAAAGATCAAGCATAGCTAATCTTTTTTTCCCTCCTGAAATTTGATTACTCGTTTCAAATTATTATTATCAATAGTAATTTGAACGCAATAAATAATCATATTATTACCCATATCTATACTATTGGATGTATTTGTATTTATTTCAGCAATAAATTCTTCTAAATATTTATTGTTTGTTCGTTTATGATACTCTTTTCGATCTTTTATTACCTAATTAATATAAAAAAAAATAATAAATATTAAACAATTTTGACAATGTGTATTTAAGATTTTGTAAATAATTTTAAAAAAAATTTTCCTCTACTTTAATATTAAATATGATTTATATAATAATAATAATGATAATAATAATGATAATGATAATAGTAAAACCAACCGTATCTGTAAATTGATGTAAAATTTTAAGAGCATTTTTTTGTACATTTCCCATTTTCCATATAAAGTTCATCATCCAATTTGTGATGTATGGTCTCGGC